GCAACTTGAGGTACTGATACGAATTGGAACTGGCTGTGTTATTTCGTCGTCATCGATTGTTTTTTATATAGTTTTTGATTTATTATTTTTGTCTCAAATTTTTATTTTCAATCTAATGATTTTTCAACGTATAAAATTAGATTCCCCATTCCTCCACCATCGATTGTTTCTAATGTGCGACCGCATTGATAGAGGCAAGAGTGACAGAATACTTTATAAAGGTTAGAGTTGGATTGTTTGTATCGTATTTTTCAGCTTTTTGACCTTTTCGATCCACGGGGTTGATCTATTTACCATAATTCCAGGAGACAATCTAGAAGGCGCTCATGCTCTTGGACGATTGTGTAGGATTTGCAAAAGATGAGAACAAACTAAGTAGTTTAATCTTGAAAGCTTCGTTCGCACGCATGCACGTGGATTAGACTAATGAATCACCAAACGGAATATATCGGTTTCTGAGTTCAACGTTACTCTAGTGGGAATCAGATGCAGTTAAGAAGAGGTTTCAGGGTAGGTTCTAGAACGACATTCTTTTATTACTGGAGCATGTTCAGGACTAGAAGCTGGAATTGGAGCTAGAGGAAAACTATCCGCAGAAGAGATTGCTCAGTATTCATGATATTTTTGTGATGAATTCTCGTGAATTCTCGTTACGACGCTGCCAATAATCAAAGACTCAGTATGGCAGTGCGGGGTCGTCAGCGAACTGAGATCGTGAGAAATTGCTAGGGTAGTAAACATGGGGACAGTAGAGAAAGCTTTGACTGAGAAGCTGTCAGGTCTGTCTTGTGAAAGTTCTTCCGCGGAATTGGAGCAAGAGTTAACAGAAAATTCACATCGACCATCTTGCTCCAACTCGATGTTGCAGGAAAGGCAGGAAGAGGAGGCTGCTCTCTGTACTGAACACTCCGATGGCACTCCCGACGGGTTTCCCTCCATCTTACCATACGCAGATTTGAAATCTCTTCTCACGCTCGAGAGGGTAAGCAAGCAAATGCGCAGCCGAGTGAATGATGTTCTGGTGTGGAGGAAGTTAGGGGTTGAACGCCCTCTAAACAGGGCCCTGACAGATGACATTCTTATGACCCTTGTCAAGAGGGCAGGTGGATTACTGAAGAGTATGAGACTAGTCACATGTTTAAGGATCACTGATGAAGGACTGTCCAATGCGCTATCACTCTGTCCCCAGCTTGAGAAGGTTAGCAACATCTCCTGCCGAAACTTCATTTTCTTCTATCTGCAGTTTCTACTATCAACTTTGTTTCTTACATGGTTTCCATAGTAGCTTACTCCTACAAATTCTTGCAGCTGGAGGTCCCAGGATGTATACAGCTCAATATTGATGCCCTTGTGCATACGGTGGAGCAGCACTGTGCAGTGAGTCGTTCGAAAGGGATGAGCGGTATCAAACAGTTGCAAATCCTTGGAAAATTTAAAATCGAGGAGCAGAACGAGTTTACTCAGAGAGATATGATGTTGAGAGCAAACGGACTCCATTTAAAGACCACTTGGACTCTTTACCAATCACCGACGACTTGGCCTGTTTACCTGTCCTCAAGTACCATTGATGACGATCGAGCTATGGATGTTGAGATTTGTCACTTGTGCAAACATAATTATGCGCAGGTTGTGTTCGACTGTATGAGGAAAAGTTGTGAGAATGCAGCAAGGATTGACACCATCAAAGCTTGCGAGGGGTGTTTCATTTGTTTGCCGAGTTGTAGTGCGTGCGGTACTTGCGTGCCTTATGACAAGGAGTTTGAGAGGGCCTGCTGCCGGCGGTATCTTTGTTTCAGCTGCTGGGCACAGTCGCCCAAGTGCGCAAAATGTAACACCGCCATTTGCGGGCGGCACAAGAAGGATTTCATGGAGAGGACCACTCTTAGCGCCTTGTCGGGGGTATGTGAGAGGTGCGCAAAAGGTGGGAGAGAAACTTACGAATTCATCGAATTAGAAGATCTTTGTTTTGCTTTATTTTCGGATCCTTGGGGACCTTTTGACGTTATTTCGAATTTTTTTCAGGACCTGTAAGAGGTAGAACAAAACTTGTGCATGGTTTTTTCTACCCCTTTAAGGCATCATGCGAGCCAGCCTGTACAAAAGTCATCGTGTGAGATAAACGATAGAGTGCACCTGGATGAATTCTTGGAAGGCGATTCATGCTTTGATATAGAATAAGAAGAGTCCACATAGGAATGCATGATAACCCATCGAGCAGACCCACTGCATTCTACTATGTTTTCAGGCACCGGACCGTAACCAGTTACAATTCTGATTCACCTGCGGCTCTGCACGACGATTGGAAAAACAGGACCATTCATTTTTTGAACATAAGAACTCATCCTTATACTTTATACGAGCTTGCGTTTTCACGTGCTCTGCTACTATGTGCTATTGTCTATATTTACCATGCAAGCAGAGACGTCATTTCTACTGCTTCTTCTTCCTGATCAGATCGCATGGAATCAGTAGCCTAAACTCTTTACAGAGTACCTATCTTGCTGAACATATCGACAGTGACCTCTATTTTCGTTCTCAGTTTGATCTTCTATACACTTCTCATGTATCCTTCTAAACATACCTTGGGTTATCTTCAGAAGGGCCTTTAGTCATGATGAAAATTGCTTGGTTCCTAATTTGTTACAGAAGACTCTGAGGATTGTAGATTAGAACGCACCTGATGAGCGCCGGGTTTTGACTAGGACAAAAGGAGATCTGAAAAATCTAAGCTCCTTTAATTATTTTTTGTTCAACTCACGTTCAGAGAATTGCTCCAACTCCTGCTCGTTCGATTGGAGAAAAAGTCCATTTTCATTTTCACACCTAGCGGTCACCATCCATGAAAATGGATGGTGACAGCTACGTATCTCACGAAGCAGAGTACCATTGGCTTACCTTCAGTTCGGACTGGAATAATAGGTTCTCTATGTTTTCTATGTGATGGAGGAGTCACGGATCGAATAGACTGATTGACTGACTGACTGGTTGGCAGACTGTGAGTGAACTCAACGGGGCCAGCACTAGTTCTCTCTTGTTTGCGAGTCCAAGTTTTGCTCTGGCAGTCCGGGATCTAAAGAAGTTCAGAGAGCCACCGGGAAAGTACGCGACCTGAAAGGAACATCAGAAATGACTGTAAGAAGAAGATGATTGTGATGATCCTATACCGTGCACTGCCAACAACAATTTCAGCAGCTGACACTTGCTCTACCGCCGGATCCTCTTCATCTCCATAGTAGTTTCAGCTTATGACAGTTCATCCATTCGGTACCAAGATGAAGCGATGTTTTGTTCTATTTTTAATCAACCAAGTCCTCGTGGGCGTTCTCATCGCCATTGCCACGCACACTTCATCCTGGTCGCTGGACATATGTGATCGTGGAGGATGGTTGTCTAAAGATGTCCAGCGTCGGCTTGCTTCCAAAGCTAGCCCGACACTCCTTGCACAAGATGCAATGCTCCAGCTCAACTTCACTCAGAATGAAGTCAGCTGGATCGCACAAGTGTGCCACGACGAGAACTTTCCGGCTCTGAAGCTGCCAAACGAAACATTTAACAATAGCGTTCCTCTCACAGAATTTTGTAGCAGAAGGCATGAGGTCGACAGCAGTACTCGTGGTAGTCCCCAGTACGCCGTGTTTCGGAACGTGATGCTGGTGGGTAGACAACATCTGCTCACCAGATCCGGCGACTGCAGCTCACTGCCCGAGAATATCACCGAGAGCCTGAAGCTGAAGACGCCATATCACGATGGCATGAGACACACTCCCGAACTCGATGCCACAGTGCTACGCGATACAGACAATTTCGAAGACTTTGAGCCTCATTATACGTGTCATGAATGAGTGTATGAGCCGTCTGTGTTGTTCTCCTTCATAAACTGGCCCCAGCCATGGACATGCTCTGTTCAATGGCATTTCTATGCTCTGGGATGCCCTCCAGCACGAAGACACTGGACCCCTATTTCGTGCGGGCAAGAATGTGAGACTTTATGCAAGAGTGACAGACAGGAATGGCAGCAGCACTTGCCATTTTTCGGCATCCTCTCTAACCAGCATCGGATTTTACCCCGACGATCACCGAATGAGCCAGCAAGTGCTTGTGAGGAGCTTTCTTCGAATCGTGTACTGCCTCGGACGACTTCTGGATCTGCTCGGCAGCTTCCTGTGCGGCGATCGATGCTCAGCCTCTCACTGAAACGGGGCAGCGGTACTGTCCCGAGCTACCTTGGCTGCCAAATCAGACTCACCGGCTGAGAAAGTTGCGATGGGTCTGTGATGTGCTATGTCTATGGTCAGCAAGTTGAGGTACTGGTACGCGTTGGAACTGGCTGTATTACTTCGTCGTCATCGATTGTTCTCAATATAGTTTTTGACCTATTATTTTTGTCTCAAATTCTTATTTTCAATCTAATGATGTTTCAACCTATAAAATTAGATTCCAATCCAGGTAATTATTTTTCCCCATACCCCCTCCATCATCGATTGTTCTCAATATGCGGCGGCATTGATAGAGGTCAGAGGACATGATACTTTATAATTCCCTGAGAGACCTGAAAAGCAATCTAGTAGGCGCTCATGCTCTTGGAGTATTCTGTAGGATTTGCAGAAGATGAGAACAAACTGAGTAGTTTAATCTTGAAAGCTTCGTTCGCACGCATGCATGTGGATTAGACTAATGAATCACCAAACGGAATATATCGGTTTCTGAGTTCAACGTTACTCTAGTGGGAATCAGATGCAGTTAAGAAGAGGTTTCGGGTTAGGTTCTCGAAAGACATTTTTTTATTACATTTTTTTATTACTGGAGCATGTTCAGTAATAGAAGCTGGAATTGGAGCTAGAGAAAAACGATCTGCAGAAGAGATTGCTCAGGATTCATGATACTTTTGTGAAGAATTCTCGTGAATTCTCGTTACGACGCTGCCAATAATCAAAGACTCAGTTTGACAGTGCGGGGTCGTCAGCGAACTGAGATCGTGAGAAATTGCTAGGGTAGTAAACATGGGGACAGTAGAGAAAGCTTTGACTGAGAAACTGTCAGGTCTGTCTTGTGAAAGTTCTTCCGCGGAATTGGAGCAAGAGTTAACAGAAAATTCACATCGACCATCTTGCTCCAACTCGATGTTGCAGGAAAGGCAGGAAGAGGAGGCTGCTCTCTGAACTGAACACTCCGATGGCACTCCCGACGGGTTTCTCTCCATCTTACCATACGCAGATTTGAAATCTCTTCTCACGCTCGAGAGGGTAAGCAAGCAAATGCGCATCCGAGTGAATGATGTTCTGGTGTGGAGGAAGTTAGGGGTTGAACGCCCTCTAAACAGGGCCCTGACAGATGACATTCTTATGACCCTTGTCAAGAGGGCAGGTGGATTACTGAAGAGTATGAGACTGATCACATGTTTAAGGATCACTGATGAAGGATTGTCCAATGCGCTATCACTCTGTCCCCAGCTTGAGAAGGTTAGCAACATCTCCTGCCGAAACTTCATTTTCTTCTATCTGCAGTTTCTACCATCAACTTTGTTTCTTACATGGTTTCCATAGTAGCTTACTCCTTCTACAAATTCTTGCAGCTGGAGGTCCCAGGATGTATACAGCTCAATATTGATGCCCTTGTGCTTACGGTGGAGCAGCACTGTGCAATGAGTCGTTCGAAAGGGATGAGCGGTATCAAACAGTTGCAAATCCTTGGAAAATTTAAAATCCAGGAGCAGAACGAGTTTACTCAGAGAGATATGATTTTGAGAGGAAACGTTCACCATTTAACGACCACTTGGACTGTTTACCAATCACCAAAAACTTGGCCTGTTTACTTGTCCTCAAGTACCATTGATGACGATCGAGCTATGGATGTTGAGATTTGTCACTTGTGCAAATCTGATTATGCGACGGTTGTGTTCGACTGTACGAGGAAAAGTTGTGAGAATGCAGCAAGGATTGACACCATCAAAGCTTGCGAGGGGTGTTTCATTTGTTTGCCGAGTTGTAGTGGGTGCGGTACTTGCTTGCCTCTGGATGACGAACAGTTTGAGAGGGCCTGCTGCCAGCGGTATCTTTGTTTCAGCTGCTGGGCGCAGTCGCCCAAGTACGCAAAGTGTAACACCGTCATTTGCCGGAAGCACAAGAGGGATTTCATGGAGAGTACCACTTTTAGCGCCTTGTCGAGCGTATGTGAGAAGTGCGCAAAAGGTTGGGAAAAAGCTTATGATTTCATCGAATTAGAAGATCTTTGTTTTGCTTTATTTTCGGATCCTTTGGGACCTTTTGACTTTATTGCGGATTTAGCATAGGACCTTTCGGATTTCGGACCTTTGATCCTTACGATCATTGATCATGTGGAAATTTCATGAAACCTTACAACTTCATCGTACCCAACAAAATTAATATTGATAAATATGAATTTACTATGAGTATTGAAATGAAAAAAAAATGATGTAGATGTATCTTGAGGAAGACTATCCAAAGAATTATGGAAAAAAAATTATGAATCATTCAAGTCAAATAGAGTAGAAAAATACTTGATGATCGAACATGAAAAAATCAATGTTCTGATTATTTGTTGCTACAATGTAAATAACTTATGTGTTATGACAAAATATCGAGAAATATTTGATTGTCTACTAGGCTTGAGATTATTTTTGCGATGTACCATATTTAGATGGTACATCGCAAAAATATATATGGTAAAATATTCATGTATTTCAGAAATGTTGCATCTTAGTATCATATTTGCTATATATTTCTACAATGTCAAATCATTTATTGATTATGTAAATATTAGCTATGAATAATATCTATATGAGATTAAATCTGCATATATATATAAGTACATTTTTATTCATGAATATGTTGAAAATACGTATACTTTGTACATTATACTAATATCATAGAAGCTAAATATGTAATTACATTAGAATATCAAAGTTGATGATTTTCTTAATCATGATTGTCACGAAGATGAAATTAAAGTATGATATTGTAATTATATATTAAACAAGTTAGAATGTTTTAATCTAGTTGTGATGATGAATAAATTGAAAAAAAACAACAAAATCATCAATATTTTATAATAATTATGTTTGTTAAAAGCATCAACTTTGATGATTTTATGTTGAATAAAAATCATTTTTAGTTGGAGTAAAATAAACTATAATGAAATATTTATAATGTCATATAAACAAATCCGTATGCAAGTGGAATGTGACACATTATACTAATTAGTAGCAGCATCTCAATAATAAATGTGTTTGTTAAATAAAAATTGAATGAGTTAGTTGGAAATTACACATCAATAATTAGTGTGTTTGTTAATAAAAATTGAATGAGTTAGTTGGAAATTACACATCAATAATTAGTGTGTTTGTTAAATAAAAATTGAATGAGTTAGTTGGAAATTATACATCAATCATCTCTGTATTTGTTAGGTATATTGGTCATGTTATCAATCCACTATGATTGGATTGGATGGTAAAGAGATAACATTATCGTTGTGTACAAATTTGAAATTTTTAGATAGAGAAGAAATAAATCATTTTAGATTTCTCTTATCTTTAGAGATTTTGTTTCATCTTCACATGAGTTCTCTAGTCGATATGAATATTATAATGATATCAAAGTGACATTGCTTTTTGAAATTGTTGATGATCATTCATGAAACAACAAGAGAATGATGATAGAACTTAGTTTAGAATTTAGTCATTTGATGAAAGTTTATAGGGATTGACAGAGTTCATTGATTTAGATGTACAAAGAAAGAGAAAAGATGAAATTGTGTTTTTTTTGAGATATCTAAGCGCTTAAAAAAATCCAATAACGCATTTAGGATTAATCAATGCGTTATTGGATTTTTTATAACGCATTGATTAATCCTAAATCTATTTGATATTGAACTTTGTTGCATGAAAAAACATCATTTTTGGATATACTTTGTGGTTTATTGAAAGTCAGATTTTATGATTAGACTAATAGAGATGAGAATATTTTTATTACTTCTAATCATTAATTAAAGAGAAATTTGGAATTATATCATCTACATTCTATAATAAATGTTTTGATGATTTGAATGGTGAACCATCTGACCCGGCTTGATTCAACACTTACATAAAGATTAAAACTATGTATCATCAGAAGAATATGTGAAAATATTTCCTTGTGAGAAACTTTGGAAATGAGTATTATAGAGTTGTCGTAGAATCAACTACAACTTTTGTGATTTCTTTGTTGAGATATTTAATAGTTATCATTCTTACTTTGTAGTGGAGTGACAAAGATAAAACATGGAGACATCACTTGATATTGATCAGATTCTCAATGTAATTGTGGTAAAATTCGAAGAGTTGAGATTAGCAATAAATCATGGAAAACACTATATTTGCATTGGAAAGTGAGAAACTAGATAAAGAGAGTTGGAAAGATGAAAGTTGTACTTTAAGATCAGGGATTCCAAGTTCAATAAGAATCAACTTTTTTATGAAGTTGAGTCAAATAGGAGACGTTTTCAAAAGATTCAAAAACAAACAAATCTTTTGTTTGAATGTAAAAGTCATGAAAACAAACATGTAAAACAAACATGTAAGCTTTGATTGAAGCTTTGCTGACTGAATCGATATACCATGGCCAACCATGGTAACTGAATATCCCAGTCCCCAAGATAACCTTTTTGGAGGCCATGCTTGCGCAACACCCTCTTCACCGTCTGTACAACACGTTCAGCTAAACCATTCGCCTCTAGATGATCTCGCGATATGATCCGGTGATCAATCAGCGTCTTGTCACACAAGACCTGAAACTCCGTCCCCTGATCGGTCAACACCACAGCTGGTGCACCATAGTGACTAAGCACCTTGTCAAGGAAAGCGTATGCTACTCACTCACTTGCCTTGTCAGGTAATGCCACCAACTCAATCCACTTGGAGAAATGCTCTACCATGACCAACACATACCGATGATGTCGTATAGTCAAAGGTAGTGGTCTAGCAAAGTCCAAACTCCAACGGTAACCCAATCCCATGATGGGTAATGGATGTAACTCTGGTGTCGGAGCATTGAACGATGCCCTCACCCGATCACAAACTATGCAACGTGATACCAATTGTTGTACTTGAGTATGCATACCACGCCACCAATACTGACCAAGGAGTAAGCTGTATGTACGCTTCACTCCAAAATGTCCCAACTCCTCATGAGCATGCTTCACAATGCGTGTTCTATGAGCTGGATGTGATACTACTCGTACCCTACCGTCCTTCCAGACTCGGAGAACATGTGATCCCTCCAATCGGTATCTCTTCGCCCGTTGGAGAACACGATCTCGCTCCTTGGCACCCACGGTGCTTGGCACCATGCTGGTCCGTAGCAACTCCAACAAATCGTGCATCGATGCATCATCGTGAACATCACGCTGATCCACACCACGATCCTCAACTTCAGGATCTGAAGATCGACCATCTATTCTCTGCCTAGAGTAAGATGTCAGATGATCCTCTCTGTTGGAGTTTTCACGTAACCAACACATGAAGGCAGATGCATGTCAACCATGCACCATCTCCTCGTCAACCTCATCATGACATCTAGCTCCAGTGTCATCCTCCTGGCTAGTGCATGAGTTCCGACTCAAACCATCGGCATCCAGGTTCGCAACTCCAAGTCTATGCACTACTTGAAAGTTGTACTCTTGTAAGATGAGAGCCCACCGTGCAATCTTCCCTGTGAGCTTGTCGGACTCCATCAACCACTTGAGCGACTGATGATCAGTAACAAGGACGAACTGCGTACCAAACAAGTAACATCTGAAGTGTGCCACAGCCCACACCGCTGCCAAGCACTCTCCCTCGTACAAACTATACAGCGACTCCGCTGCATTGTTCGAACGACTAGCGTAGGCCATCACAAACTCCTTGCCCTCATCATCACGCTGCGTCAACACCGCTCCAAGTCTCAACATACTTCAATTAGTGTGCAATTGGTATAGACGACCTCTGATAGGTCTCGTCAAGATGGGAGCGGCCACCAACCTGGCCTTGAGCTCAACAAAAGTTCTTTCCTGCTCATCTTCCTATTGCCACTCCTGATCTGACTTCAGCAACTGGTTCAAAGGCTTAGCTATAGCACTCAATCCCTTCACATACCTCGTGTAGTAGTTCGCCAAACCCATGAATGCACGAACTCTATTCACATCAGTGGGACAAGAGATGCGTGCAATAGCCTTCACCTTTGCTTGCTGAACTCCTAAACCACCTGGGTATATCACATGATCCAAGTACTCAACCTTCTCATGGAAGAACTTACATTTCCCAGGATGTAACCTCAAACCATGAGCCCTCAACCGCTCAAACACAACCTGCAAATGAATCTGGTGTTGCTCCACAGTGTCACTAAACATCAAGATATCATCAATGTAACATCTAACAAAATCTAGCTCCGCTAGGATTCTGTCCATAACCCTCTGAAACTCAGCAAGTGCATTCTTCAACCCAAAGGGTAAGAATCGTCACTAATACAAACAATCCTTGCCGTGGGAGTTGACGCCTCAAAACGTTGTCTTGATCTTGTACTCCTCCCGAATTGGCAGTTGATGGTATCTTGCCTGAAGATCCAAAGTACTAAAAATCCTCGCATGTCCCACCATATCGAAGATCTCCTCAAGTGTAGGCATGGCATACTTATCAGACTTCGTCTGCCGATTGATAGGATGGTAGTCTTCACACATGCGCCTATCCGTGTAGTTGCCATGTACATCCTTCTTCACCGGCATGACAGTGGCTGACGCATACTCACCATGCGATAACTCCACTACTCCATCCTCCAGTAGGTCCAACGTCCTACTTCGAATCAAATCCCTCTTTATCTCACTATATCGATAAGGACGACGGAAGATTGGCGTATCACTAGCCAATTCTATCCGTATAACAGGTCCAATCAACGCACCCACCTCCTTCATACTGAAGGCAAAACAACTCATATAGTCTCGTAAAAATTGTGTCAATTGTCGCCTCTCTCCTCCTGTGATCTGGGAACCAATCAATGGCTCCCATTCCTCCTCCATAGACACACTATGGAGAGGCGACACTGTCAATGGTTGCTACGCTACATCTTGCAAAGAAGGGTTCTCCATACCCTACTTCGTAGCCACCTCCACATGAGAATCCTCTCCAACTGCATGGGCTGCAACTCTAGCAAGTTCTTTCATCACGTCCCATGAACTCCAAGGATGACAAATATCTCGCCTGTTGCCCCCAGCCATTGCCATTACCGTCTTGGTAGGCAATGAGCTAACAAGTGGTGACTAACC